GCGACCCTGTGCACGGTGGCTTCGTTTGAGTTGCTATCACAACTCTTTCCTCACTAGAACACCAGAGCTACATAACAAGTGTCATTAAATGTGGAGAATAATTGATAATGTATATCTTTTCAATCTTTATGCACAACAGATCATGTGTGAGGCTGGGGGCTCTATGAAGAGGAATGTGGCATCAGGATTGGAGAAAAACTCATCAACAACCTGCTTTATGCAGAAACTGAGGAAGACTAGAGGTTATTTGCTGCAGAGGGTCAAGGACTGCCGCCTTAAATACAGACTGAAGTTCAACATCAAGGAAACAAAGATTCTCACCATAGACGGTGAAGAGATTGAGATTGTAAACAACTTCAGTTTGCTTGGTTCCACAATCTACACTCTTGGAACCAGCAGCCAGAAAATCAAAAGATGAATTGAATTTGGAAAAATCTGCTGTCAGGGACCTGGCCAGAGAGTACTGAAGAGAAACAATGCATTCTGGAGAATAAGGTGCGCCTGATCCAGGCCATGGTCTTCACAATTACTTGCTATGCATCAGAAAACTGGACAATGACTAAGGATGATAGGAGGAGAATTCATACCTTTGAGTTGTGGTGCTGGAGAAGAGACTTGAATATACCATGGGCTGCCAGGAGAACAGATTCGTCCTGGAGAGGGTGAAGACAGGCTGCTCTTTGGAGGCAAGGATTCTGAAGCTCTGTCTGATGTGCTTTGGGCATGTTGCAAGGAGGAACCAGTCCTTGGAGAGGGACGTCATGCTTGGGAGGGTGGAGGGACAGTGCAGGAGAGGAAGACCCTTGATGAGATGGATTGCTTCAGTGACTGACGTAATGGGGGTGGGAGTGTCAGAGACAATCAGCTTGGCTCAGGACAGAGCAGGGTTCAGAGCTGTGTGCATAGGATCGCTATGAGTCGCAAGCAACTCAACGGCATACAACAACAACGATTAAAGGATTTGCACATAACTTGCTCCCAATCACAAACTCTGTTGTCAAGGTGGAGTAAGAATCTACTCACAGGTGACATTCCACTTGATTTTCTGAGGCTGTAAATCACGCAGAGGAGGAGATGCCTATCTGCAGAGCTGTGGGCGGATTCCAACTGTCAGAGGCCTTTGGGTTAGCAGACTTCCTACAGACCATGCCCCTAGCGCGTACTACGCAACAGGGTTGCTGTTTGCTGTGGAGTTGGAACCAACCTACAGCTGACCCTCCAGCGTGTTTCCAGAGGCTGTAAATTAAATGGGAGAAGACTGCTCATCTTTCTCCTGTGGAGCAGACGGTGGATTTGAACGACTGTGCAGCTTCTTATCACCAGAGCTCTCTAATACACAATGGCGGGGGAAACCCCAAGTCCACCAACGATAGCTTAGGGAGCAAGACAGCTAGAATAAATAAGAACTTGAGAAGGAACAAGGAGCAGAGTATCCCAATATCCAAGGGCAAAGCCCCAGGAAGATGTCCAAGAAGTCCCCAAAGAGTCAACTGCAGGAGATACAAGGACTGGGAAGGCTGCTGGGTGGGACCATGGTGTCCAGGTGGGCTGAAGGTGCAGAGGCCCTGGAGTGGAGGCTGCCAGGACCAGCTGGGGAGCAGAGTCCGTAGGGCTAACGGACCACACAAACTTCCACTGCCACAGCCCCGAGACCAGAGAAACCAAGGCTTGGTGAGACCTATGGCTTGGGCTGACCTGCAGCTTGTCCTGACCCGCAGGTTGGCCTGACCCACAACTCATCCTGACCCATGGCTTGTCCTGATCTGCAGCTTGTCCTGACCCATGGCTTGTCCTGATCCACGATTTGGTCTGACCTGCAGGTTGTTCTGACCCACGGCTTGTCCTGACCTGCAGGTTGGCCTGACCAGCGCCTTGGGATGATCCAAGCCACAGTAATTAACTTTTTAAAAATTTCATTTTATTATAGTTCAAACCAGCATGCTGGTTCATTTCAGCTCCCTCACGGCCAAGCCTGGGGCAGGACGGCTTCAGTTCCTCTGCCATCTATTTGTCTGTGACGGTCAGGGTATAAGGTATCTGCTGCACCGAACCTTAAACTTCACATTATCCTTCTTTTTCTTGGTCTTGACAGATTTGGCATCCTTTCGCCGGGTCGTGAGCGGAAAGTCTTCGATCTCTTCAATTTTGTGAGGCATGGTGGAGAGCGTGGGGGGCTGCAGGCGCGTGCCCGTACAGCTAGGAGCCAAAAGCGAGGATGGAAGAGAGTAATTTCCAACTGTCTCATACACACGTGAAAGCTGGACAGTAAATACAGAAGACCGGAGAATGAACGCGTTTGAGTTATAATTATGGTGGAGAACGCTGCAAACCACGGACTGATTGACAGAAGACACAACTGCCTTAGAGGAAGTAAGATCAAAACATTCCTTAGAAGAGACTTCACCTCATACATTTGGGATATGTTCTCAGGAAGTGTCAGCTTACGGAGAACTCTGCCATCATGTGGGGTCACTGACCCTCAGCTAGCTGCACTGATGCAGCACTGACAGTGGCCACAAGAGCGGGCTCAAACAGCGACAACGTGAGGCTGAGCTGGGACTGACTTGATGGCACGCCACAGCATTTGTCTACCCTCCCCTGGAGAGAGGCAGCTTGAAAAAGGCAGGGCTGGGCCTGGGCTGTGGCGTATGCGCCTTACTGGCAGAGAAGGCCTCAAGTGACCACATCTCTTTGGGAGACCACACCCTCACCACTTCTGCATCACATTCCCCATCACCGAAGCTTGGGAGTCAGAGCACCGACCAGGAAACGCCACAGGAGACAGAGTGTTTACTGGGTTTATTGAAAATCTCAAACAAAATCTTTCAGATGGGCTCTCCTCCTCGGCTCTGAAGCTCCTGGATTGTCCTGAGCACTTGAACGCTTCCCTTCAGCCGGCTCTGCCCAGAGCTGGGACCACCTTTTGTCCTTACGCTGCTGCTTGAGCACGTTTCCTCTGTGGTCGCTCGTGGGTCCCCACGCTTGTCTCTAACATGAAATGTCTCCACCAACTTTTCTCAACGTTTGGCCCAGAGACTGCTGTGCCAGCATCGCTGGGGGACCGTAAGCGTGCAGCTTCAGGGCCACCCCCTCTTCTGAGTGCCCAGGACATGCGGCGTCCACTAGTCCTTCAGAGTCGGCACTCTGCACAGTGCAAGGCAAGGTCTAAACGCTTCTCTTTCATTCACGCTCAGCCGCTTTCGGGGGTCCAGGAGAGAGGCCAGAGTCCGAGGCACTAAGCTGACATTGACCTAGCAGAGGTCCTCGTCCAGTCTGCAGGTCTCGCCGAGTGCCCTCTCCTCTTTGACCATCTCACCCCTGGCCTGCCCCCACGCACTCCTCATTCTCCTCTCACTGTTAGAACTGGCCATCCTCTCGGTCAGCTCCCATCCCACCCACCCTGCTTGGGACTGCTCCGACCCCCACCCACAACCCCCCTCCCAGGGCTGCAGGACAGCTCCGGCCCAGCGACGCTCCACCGGTTTCGGAGATCTTAGTGGTAGATCACTGCCAACCTTCCTGCTGCGCAGCCACCAGCTTCGGGTTAGAGCTACAGGCTCGGCCACCAGAGCTCCTTTGTTTCATGATAAAGGTGTTACCTCCTGCATGTACGTATCGTAACTCGAGGGCAAGTTACACACACAATGGGCGACCAAGCTTTCTCAGGAAGCTGGCAAAGCAGGGTGCCCGGCAGAGGAGGACGCCATCACTCCATGGATGTGGCTGTCCTGACAGGCTCCTGGGTGGGACTCTGTGGGGCAGACAGGGTGAAGGGGAGGAGAGGGACCCTCTCTCTAAGAAAGATAGCGTTTCAAGGGAGCAAAAGGGAATCTTGACTCCTTCTCATGGTTTGTTTTGTTTTAAATTCAGTCTTGTATAAGAAGGTTGCACGGCTTCTCCTCACCGTAGATTCTGACAGACCGTGAGGAAACGGACCGAGGAGAGCAGGCACTGGGAGCGGGGACCGTACCAAGGAGGGCTTGTGTCTCCTGTGAACCCTCCTGCCTGAGCTGACGACTGTACAGTGACCACAGAAACTAGAAAGTCGTCCTGTGGGTGTTTAATAAAGGAGCAGCAGACCACGACAACTCAGGGTTAGTTCCGACAAGAGATGCTGTAGTTTTCCCTCCCTGTTTCATTATTAGCACTTCTCCCCATGCTGACTCCTCTGAGCGGCCCCTGGAGTTGGTTCTGGAGGCCCCAGTGAGGCATCCCAGCCCAGGTTCTTCCCCTCTGTGCTCC